TTCCTTCGTCGCTTCGTTCCATGCGAGCTTCCCGTGCCCAAGTGTCCCAACCCGGCCGACGGCATCTTCAACTTACCGTCTGGCGTACCCGAGGTCAGAATGTATAAACCACAGGTGAGTGAATACACACCTCATTCCATCAATGATGGTCTTCTCAACCGTCACACAGATTGACGGGCTACATAAGCTCGTCGCGAATTTCCCCGACGGAAAACGACCCAGCTTTTACAACAATTCAAACACACCCATTCGATTTCCTTTCGGAAAATTTGACCAGGAACATCATGCCACAAAGCCAGACCTCATTGGTGGCTTCAAGCCTCAATCGCTCAAACAGCCTCGATGGCGCCACCTCGCCATTGTCCTCGAGGCAAAGCCCAATGCTGGAGAAGATCCCGTCGGCACGCCGAGCGAGGAACGAACCAAGACCCTCATTCAACTCGCTAAGAGTGCCCGCAACCTGCTTGTCGCCCACAGCCGCTTGTTCGTGTTCGCCGTTGGCCTGTACGGCAATATAGCACGCATATACCGCTTCGATCACGCTGCCGCGGTCGTCTCCCAAGCGTTCAACTATGTTGAGAACCCCGAGATCCTCCACGAATTCTTCTGGCGCTTCGCCAATCCCATCAATCCAGCTTGTGGCGTTGTTGGCGACGACCCCACTATCTCGATGCCCAGCCACGAGGACAGGGCGTTGGCAAAGAGGTTGTTTGAGAAACACAAGGGCGAGCGGTTCACTGGGGAAAATAACAAAGTATGCCGGTGGATCACCTGCAAAAGACCTGACGGCGCCATCGAGCGCTACCTCACATACCGACTCGTCTTCATGAATCCACGCCTCTTCTCGCGTGCCACGACCGTCTGGGAAGCATTCAAAGAGGGCGATGAGAGTGGAAAGACCTATGTCATCAAGGATGCCTGGCGGCAAGGCGCCCGACGTTTCGAGGAGGAGTTCTACAAGGACATTCGCGAGGGCGTCGCGGAACAGCACGATCTTGAGGAGTTGTGTGATATCGCGGAGGAGGAGTTGGAGTTGCGCGGACTGGCGGAGCTCGAGTATGCCATCGATCTCGGTGAGGAAGAAATGAACGCTCACACGCACGAAGAACGGAACGATCCGGTTTCGCCTGCTCCCTCGTCCTTTGATAGCCAGCCTTTGTCCGACGACGGTTTTTTTGGTCCTCCCGCGTACGATACGGACCAGCACGGATCTGTTCCCTCACCACCACCACCACCGTACGAGTCTGACGACGAGGCTCCGCCACCATATGAGTCGGGGCATTGTACTGCATCCGCTGCGATCCTCGACAGAAATATGGCCAAGTACAATGAGCGAAGCCACACGCGCCTAGTAATGAAGACTGTTGGGCGACCCATCTCCGAGTTCGAGAGTACAAGGGAGATGGTAGAAGCATTGCGAGACGCGATTGAAGGTATGTTGCTACTAGTGATCTTCAGTGTGTTTTGCTCACCGTCACTGCTCTAGGTCACGGAATCGCATATAAAGCTGGCGTCTTGCACAAGGATGTCAGCGAAGGCAACGTCCTCATCGCGGAGGACGCCCCATTTAAAGGTTTTATTGGTGACTTTGATTACAGCTTCAGCTGGAAGCGATTCTTGCGAGAGCGTGGCTGGAAGGATACTGTGGAGAGCTGGCAGCACTATACGAAGAACCACGAAGGAATTCCGGACGACGAAAACGCGAATGCAAAGGTGTCTAAGGAACAGTTGAAGGAAAGCGAGTTGCGGAATGGTCTAAAAGAACGAACAGTATGTGTCATTCACTCATCAGAACATTCACACACTGATTGACCTTACAGGGAACATTCTACTTTATGGCTATAGAAGTCTTGCGTGGAAGCGCCATTCACGACGCACGTCATGATCTGGAGTCCTTCTATTGGCTCCTCGTTTGGCTGGTCCTCAGACATACAGATCATGATCACGTAGCGGGCGCAATGGCATGCTCCAGATTGTTTGACGGCGAGAACGAATGGTCGTGTCTTGGTCACAAGGACATCTGGTTAGGGGATAACCAACCAGTTAGTGTGCGAGGAAACGCGCCGCTCACGCACTTACTAGGTAAATTCAACGACTGTTGCTATCGGAGCACTCCTCGTAAAGAGGTCAAACAAGTCCCTCTCACTCACGAACTCGTCTTGGCACTATTTGACGAGGCGCTAGCAATGGATGGATGGCCGGAAAAGGACGGTGCTCGCCCTTTTAAAATGCCGAACACCCCTACCACTACTGTCGATGTGCGGCCAGTGTCTCAAGTGACTGGCGGACGAACTACGAGCAAAACCACGTCCACCAATAACCTGTCATCTGTAACAGGCAGGCCGCCTCGATCCCGACGCGGTGAATATTCCTTTTCTACAACAGGCAGCGGAATCCAAGATGGAAAACCATTGAGCAAGAGGCCCGTGGAGAAGGGTGGCCAAAGGAAGCCTGCCGGCGCAGCTTCACAATCTCGAAACCATTCTCTCAGTGCCATAGCGCAGGATTCTAGTGCTTTTCCCGCTCAGCCAATGATGGCAAACACCAACTCGAGAGTTTCGGGGCCGCCTTCCACTTGGTCTTCCACTTCTTCTAATGTCCACAGTCCCGTCAGTTTTCGAGATTTGCCTACCAGTGGCACAAAACGTACCCGCGCGACACTGGATAAGGAGAACCACTCACCCTCAAAGAGGCGGAAGAGCGCAAACGCCAAAAAATATACCGTCGACGACGTGTGATCCGATCGTGGTTCCTTATTCTCTTCATGTTCTGTCGGCCTCGCCCTTTTCCAGCATATTATTATTGCTTTGCCAGCACGTTCAATTTCTTGCGTCGATACAAATCATACCCATTTCGTTTTTGACATCCTAGTATTCCTATCTGCATTGTGATCTGATTGTAAACATATTGATCCCCTCCTTCCCAGAACAGCATCGCTAGCTTTATACACACCTATGTTCCCGCTGTTAAATCCCGGTTGTAGATACCCATCACTTTAGATGATGCTTTGACAGACCTTCTGTGCTTTGTTTGTTATCCAATAATGTAACCGGGGTTTGTCGCACATTAGTGACAGAAGTGCGCCCGGGCTCGTTCGAATGGGATGAGGAAGAGTAGCGGCTTGTCATCACAAGAACATGCAGATACAGCTGGGGTTGCTGAGAAAGCGACCGGCGCTTGACTCCTTGATCTCGCATCTCCTTCATCCGAATTGGACCTAAGCC